GCAGACAGGCAGAGACAGACAGAGAGAGACAGACAGAGAGTGACAGGCAGAGAGAGACAGGCAGAGAGAGACAGACAGAGAGAGACAGGCAGTAAGACAGAGAGACGGAGAGACAGACAATTTATTAATCCCGGGGGGCGGGGCTTCGAGAGTGAAGGCTTCGGGTCAGTTTGTCCTCGCTCCGTCACGTTTACAGCTCGGGTCTCTCAGACCTGCTGCAGACCTCTTCAGACTCCTGGACCTGACCCCAGACTCTCTGACCCCCCATGCTGCTGTCATGGATGTAGTTTGTGGTTCTTGCTGACCTTCCTGAAAGACGTGACCTGGATGGAAGTAAAGGTTGTAAAACCTGAAGATGTTCTCCTGTTGTCTGTACCAGAGGCACTAATGCACCCCCATATCAACAGAGAGGCAAGCTGTTGGACTGTGAGATGATACGAGGCTGGATGGTCTCTCTCCTCTTTAGTCCTGAGGACGTGGCGTCTGTGGTGTCTAAACAGAAGTTCAGATTTGGACCTGTCTGACCTCAGAACGGTCCTGGACTTCACCTCAGTCCATCTGAAACGAGCTCTGGTCCAGAGAAGATGGCAGCGGTTCTGGATGGTGTTCACATCTGGCTCCTTCTTTGCCTGATAGAGCTTTAAGCAGCATCTAAGGATGACCTGTGTGTGAACAGAACCAGAACCAGACCTGGTTTTAGTGCTGCGGCCCCTGAGGGCCTCATCCTGAGAGCTTCTTCAGATTCTTCTAATCTGAGGATCAGATTATGAACTGGAGATGATGGAGATTAAAAGTCTTTATTCAGGAACTTTGTTCTGAAAGACTGCTGGACCTGTGCCCCTCTTTACTTCTGATTCTTCCTCTAAATGCTCTTTACTCATCAAAGCGCTGCTTTTTCGCGTTTCTTCACGTCAACCTTTGATCTTTATTATGTTTCTATCTATTTTAAATATGCGTTTATGAGAGTTCAGAACTTTATAATCTGCCTTTCTTTACGTTTTACATGACGTCCCAACTTTTCAGAGCCGGGCTGGTACTTGTGCAGCTCTTCAGGACGTTAACACGATGGAAGGAAACGTGTTTGGTTGTGCAGCTCTTCTTTGTTCTTGTCTTTCTTTGGGCTCAGATAAAACAAACCTGCCGTTCGGTCACACAGAGTTCACCGGGGCAGGGACTGGGGTTTCTTTTGTACTCGGGACCAGGAGTTCCCAGAGGTTCTCACGCCGGCTGCAGCTCACCTTTGATGGGGACTTTAAAGGCAGGTGTTGGTAACTGGGCTGTTTGAAGTGGGATGAAGGAGTGAACGTTTGATCTGTTTGAATCCACACCTGAGACCAGCGATCAACCTCAACACACCTGTACCTGACAGAACGCCCCGAGGACCTCCTAGTCTTATCCCTTTATATAAAACAAAGTCCTCACAAGCTGCACTTCATGAAAGATGTGGCCATTTGTTCTACACCTGATGTCCTGACACAACCTGGGCTTGAACCCTCAGGATTGTGAGACCACAGCACTGACCACCGAGCCACCGCAGCCTCTAACGAGTTGCGCTCCTTAAAAAACAAAACATCTGGAAAGTTGAGAAAACTTCTTGAGAAACAGGTCGTCTGGACCGCTGGCGGGGAGTTGATGTTTTGAACCACTTTGGCCATGACGGCCTCAGATGAGTCGACGGGGGAGAGGGCGGACTCCAGGAACCATCTGAGCACCATCACACTGGTGGACCACTATGTGAAGGTGCTGTTTATAACACTGAGATGGTTGTGGCTCCTCGGACTGAAGATCTCTTTTGGACAGAAGACGAAACGTTTCAACAAGAAGAATCCTCCAGAGGACCTGACTGAACCTTGTGGCACTCCTTAAAAACAAAACACATCTGGAAAGTTGAGAAAAGTTCTTGAGAAACTAATGATTCAGTGCTGGAGGAAGCAGCTGAGGTGACTAAATGGATCCTCGTGTCTTTGAAGGCCTCAAAAAGACCTTCCTGCTCTGAAGCCGGACAAAGATCCACGCGGCCTCGGGCGGCGTAATTCTGATGAAAGGCGGCCACGCCTTGCTCCGCTCCGGGCGAGTAAAACGAGCTGAGTCATGTTCTGCACGTGGGCGGGTCGGGTCTGTTGTTGAAGAAAGTCTCCCTGAGGGCGCGGAGTCGGTGTTTTGGACCACGTCACGACTGCAGGACTGTAATTTACCTGTCCTCGTTAACAGCGTTTTACTTTGGGGGGGTTGTTGTGACGGCCAACGAGCAGCTGCTGTTTGAACGTGCACACAACAACAAAAACTGTTTTTATGTTTTTATGAAGCTCCGGGTCAGAACAAAGGTCGTCTCCGGGTCAGAACCATTCAGATATGTTAAAAATACAAACGTCAGCAAAAGTTATCTAAGGAAGCAGCCGACTGTTGAACCTTCACTCTTTCGGCTGTTGAGCTGCA